CGCCTGGGTGGTGCAGTTCTACAGCTCCTCGTGCGGCCACTGCATCGGCTTCGCGCCCACCTGGCGGGCCCTGGCCGGCGACGTGCGCGGTGAGTCCGGGCCGGGCCCCCCAGGGGCGAGCAGAAATGTCTCCGAAAGAGCCGGGGGATAAAGCCATCGGGGACTTGTGAGGGCGGGGGTTGACACCTTGTATGGCAGGCCCTAAAATCCCACTCACGCGCACACACCTGCCAAGTGTCGTGGGTTTTGGCATCCCAGAGACGCCGGACAGATCTCTCTCGATGCAGACAGACAGATCTCCCTCGATCCAGTCAGACAGATCTCTCTCTCTCGATGCAGACACACAGATACGAGAGAAATAAACGTTCTTACCAAAAAGAAAAAAAACACCATTTGAGATTGTGAACTCCTCGAGATCAGGACTGTCGCTTGTCTCTTTATTGGCAAGGTGACTAACCTATTTTTAGGGCTCAGTGTTATACCCTGGACTTGAGTGTTGCCGATATAATAAAGATCTGAACTCTGTGACAGAGCTCTGCGGAGAAATGAGAGGAGAAAAAGGACGGCGCGGTGTAAAAACCAGAGCTGTAAGCCAGATTTTTAGACGTAGACAAGTCACGCCGTTCGGATGAAGGGAAGGAAAAATTGCCGCTGCATTTTTGGCAAAACTTAACACAGAGGAGAAGAGAGATCGGTGAATTCGAGGGCAATCTGCTGCAAAGAAAATTGTTCGGTTTAAGGGGCAGATCATTTTTACCCCCTTTAAAAAAAGGCCTGGAAAGTAACCACCTGCAAATTAGTGAGGTTTGGCACATGTTATCATTGTGCAATATGCAGCTTCACCTGCTCGCTTGTTTTGTAGGTGCTGAAATGCTTCCCTGTAATTATAGATCTCCTGCAAGGAAACAAATTGGTCCTTTTCTTTAGGTGTTGGTTACCTTAAATATCTGCAGGTTGTGGTGCTGAGAAGAACGGAGATTAAACTGGCACAAAGTTTCTGAGTAGCGTCATGTTTTGTGTTTTTTTTTATAAATTCCTTTAACAATGGATAAACGGATGCCTTTATAGTTGGACGGTTCTAGTTTGCTTTTTAGAGATGCCAGCACTTAACCCTCTCCGATCGTCTGTCCCATTCATGTGCATAAGTATTGAATGCCAGATACAGGTGCACTTTTATGCATGCATATTTTCTCATGTGCACAAATGGAGGCCAGGTCAACAAGCAAGTTGAAATTGCATCCCAGCGTGGTTGTTGCAGCGAGCGCTCTCCCAGCAGGTAGATGGGATCTCACACAAACCAAAGACCCGTGTTCCCTAATCTCTAACCCTTCTGAGCGTGTAGATGGATTTATTTACGTGCTGTTTATCATGGTTCAGGAATGTATGTGGGAGTCAGTTGGTTTGAGACGAAAAGGAATGCAAAAGTCTAGGACTCTTGGAAAAGTTTATCATGGTTAACACTT